CTTAGAAAATATAACTAGTTAATGGTTCCTGCCCAGTAGTGTGTGTGGAACTGTGTCCCTTGCCTGGAGATGGGGAAGGCAAAAATAATCGGATGTGGTAAAGATGATTGCTGGGCCTGGAAAAAGCCAGCATGCTTTTCGGTGCTTATCATGGCAGCCATTTTGTGCAAAAGCCATAATCACCCGATCCTGTCTTGGCAGCCATTTTATGGGACACTCCACACAGCATCTCCCCAAATTCCTCAGCAGTGCAAGTGTACAATCAACATGTACATGTACTTGTACAAATCTCTATGTGTGCTGTACATGTGAGTCAATGCATACACTTCATTCCAGATGTGCCCATGAGGGCAGTCCAATAGGCCAAGATAGACCTATCAGCAAAGCCCTGCCCCTTTTATGCATCTGGATTTTAAAAGAGGAAGAGCTTTGCATGCTCATTACAAGGGGTAGAGCTTGGGTTCCATGTAGTGATGCTATCTTGTTTATATCAAATAGATAATCAGAGTTGGAAGGTACCTTATAGGTCATCTAGTCCAACCCCCTGCCCAAGTGGGAGACCTTACACCATTTCTGACAAATGGCAATCCAATCTCTTCTTGAAAGTCTCAAGTGATGGTGCTCCCACAACGTCTGAGGGCAAGCAGTTCCATTGGTTGATTGTTCTCACTGTCAGAAAGTTTCTCCTTATTTTCAGGTTAAATCTCTCCTTGTTCAGTTTCCATCCATTATTCCTTCTGGCCTTCAGGTGCCTTGGAAAATAGCTTGACCCCCTCCTCTCTGTGACAGCCCCTCAAATATTGGAAGACTGCTATCCTTCTTCCCTTGGTCCTTCTCTTTACTAGACTTGCCAAGCCCAGTTCCTGTAACCGTTCTTCATAAGCCTTAGTCTCCAGTCCCCTAATCATCTTGGTTGCTCTTCTTTGCACTTTTTCTAAAGTCTCAACATCTTTTTTATAGTGTAGTGACCAAAACTGGATGCAGTATTCTAGGTGTGGTCTTACTAAGGCTTTATAGACTGGTATTAGTACCTCACTTGATCTCAATTGTATCCCTCTGTTAATGCAATTTAGGATTGCATTAGTTTTTTTGTCTGCAATTTCAGGATTGCATTAGTTTTTTTGGCTGCTGCTGCACTCTGCTGGCTCATATTTAGCTGGTTGTCCACTAAGACTCCAAGATCCCTCTCCCAGTTACTGCTATTGAGCCTGGTTTCACCCAGTCTATATGTGTACTTTTGGTTTTTCTTGCCTAAGTGTAGGACTTTACTTTTCTTTACATTGAATTTCATTTTGATATCAATCTCCTCTACAGATGCCTCTGTCGTTCCTCTCTGTTCAACGCTGCCTCAGGATTGCTGTGTGTCTGTGACTATGTTTGTGTATCAATCCAGCAATCATGGTTACTCTTGGACTCTCCTAACTGCAGCAAAGGTGGTTGATCTACCACAAATAACAACAGGAGGGAATATAATGTCCTTTCTCATGGGCAGGGATGGTTGGGGAATTCTGGGAATTGAAGTCCACAAGACTTAAAGCCTCCACAGTTGGCCATCCTTGCTTTATATACTTTTGGGGCACAATTATGATTTTATTTTTGGTCTCTAATTTTTTTTACTTTTTAGACAGTCAGTTGCCCAGTTTCATCAGGAGTTGGGTGGTTTATGGATTACGAATGAAGGCAAATGGTTTATGAATTATTTAAATGGTCAAATAAATGAGGAACACCCCCCCCCCCCCCCGGACATAGCAAGGAGCTTAATTCTGAATAATTCTGTCCTACATTTGGCAAAAAAATGTTAATTGAATCCGAGAGTGATCCCCATCTGGCATGCCTTGCCATAATATTTACTGCTTTTCTAGATTGGAAAAAGAAAAGCATTACTTGTGAGGGCCATGTAGAAATGCAAATTTTATGTGGATCAATATATTGACTTTGTTTTTCATCGAGATCAATTCCAGCCCCAGTTGTGGACGTAAATCGAGGACTATGTTTATGGTACATTCTCATCTCCCCAAACTGTCTTGTTTTTCAAGAGATAAGATGTTCCCACTGCATTCCAACTCTTTCAGATTATTTCAACTCCTGCAAAAATTGTAGTTCTGAATTCAAGAATCTCCCAGTTGAGTATGGATGGGGATGTTTTGACTACATTTTCTACTCACAATTGGGAGAAGACAGTCGGTAGACTGTTGTGTGACAGCAAGCCATTATGTTTTTGATGGAAGGGATAGATTCTAAAGGCATTCTAAAGACCTTTTGATCCCTCGATCCATCATGTTGGTTTAGTCTCTGAACTCAATCCCAAATCTCCCCTTCAAACCCCTTTCTTTCCATACAGAATTATGGAATAACAGAACTGGAAGCGACCTTGGTGGTCTTCTAGTCCAACCCCTTGCCCAAGCAGGAGACCCCACACCATTCGGAACAGCCTTGTTAATTTATTTTAGATTTTTGTCCATGTGTCTCAGATTTGTGGACATGTTGAATGATTCTGGGCCAGCAAGGACCTTTGCTTATTTATTTATTTTGAAAAGGCCTTTATGTCCTTTCAACTTAAACTGGCTATTTGAAGGACTGTCTTTTCCCAGTCATATCTATCGGACCCACCAGAGCAGGGAAGCAGGGTGTCCATTTCTAAGGAGGTCCATCTTGAGGGTCCAAGATGAAGGGCCTACTCCATGGTAGCTGTGTGGTTCGCCGGCAACCTGCAAAGACGGCAGCGGAATTGGACAATGGGGAAGAACAGGGCCCAGTCCAGGAACCTGGAGAGGACTCGGACAAGGGTCCTGCATCCGATGCAGAGATGGGGCCAGGAGCATCTGGGAGTGGAGTGCTGACTCTGAAGCCTCCAGAATCTGGCAGCAGCAAGGCAGAGGAACAAGGGGAGCCTGTTCCAAGTACGCGTGCACAGAGCTGCCAGAAGGCAAGAGCAGCTAAGAAAAAAAAAAGGGCGACTTGGGAGTAAGGCTAGGAGGTGATTGCCCCTCCCATAAGGTATAAAGGAAGTGCAAAGGTAGAGAAACCTTTGCAGGAAGCAAAGTTGTTCGCTCTGTTCGGATTAAACCTTGAAGTTCTGTGTGGACTTCGTACTTCAGCTGGTTTTGTACTTTAGTTGTTGGCAGCAATTCAAAGGAGAGAAAGGTGAGTGCTTATCCCGAGACTCATTACGGGCTGGGAATGAACATAATTCCCAGCATTGAAATAAAACAAGAGTTGTTTGGACTAAGTGTGTGCTTAATTACAGTCTCAGGAAGCCTTGGTCAGGACAGTGGCTCCCTCCCTGTAAAACATCATCCCTATGGAGATAAGATTGACCTCCCACTCGACTCTCTTTCCCAAGGCTTCAAGACACAGTTCAGCCAATGGGTAGCTATGGAACCCATCAAGTGTTATCAGAGTGTTGTCACCAAGGGGTTGTGGGGAGTTACTTGGATTTTGTATTATTTTACCTTTGTAAACCGCTCTGGGTCACTGAGGGCAAATTGAGTGGCCATACTCAGCAAGCATCTAGTTTTAAGCCTATTTATTTATAAAAAGTTTTTACACATGCTAAATCTCTATTACCCATTTTACACTTATTTTATACCCGTTCAGTCCTGAACGTTTGCAGGGGGACCACAACTGAGCCCAAAATTTCTGTTGCTGTGTGAGTTTTGGCCCATTTTATGACCTTTCTTGCCACAGTTGTTAAGTGAATCACACGTTGTTAAACCTAGCACCAGTAGCATGGTTATTAAATGAATCTGGCTTCTTCCAGCATTGACTATACTTGTCAGAAGGTTGCAAAAGGGGATCACATGACCCCAGGGACACTGTAACCGTCATAAATATGAACGTTATCCAAGCATCTGAATTTTGATCACATGAACATGGGGATGCTGCAATGGTTATTAAGGGTGAAAAACAGTCCTAAGTCACTTTTTTCAAGTGCCACTGTAATTATGCCAGTTTGTAGCATCCCACAATCAATTTTACAATGGCGTTACAAAAAACTGGCATTTATTTTTGGTTTTTAGCAAAATCTGCACATAGCCAACCCACTGGTTCACTTAATAACTGCCACATTCACTTAATGACTACCACAAAAAAAAGGATATAAAATCAGGTTGCTCACAAGGCTAATCCACTTTATGACAAACGACTGAAGATCTTAAAGGGCAGGCTCCATTACAGTTGTAACTTGAGGACTATTTGTAATTTCTAAGGAAAATCTATGCAGGTAGTCCTCCACTTACGACCGCAATTGAGTCCAAAATTTATGTGGCTAAGTGACAAATTTGTTAAGCGAGTTTTGTCCCCTTTTACTTAACATTTATTAAGGGAATCACTGCAGTTATTAAGTGAGTGACACGATTGTTAGGCGAATCTGGCTTCCCCATTGACTTTCCTGGTCTGAAAGCTAGAGAGGGTGATCCCATAACCCCGGGACACTGCAACCGTCATAAACATGAGTCAGTTGTCAAGCATCTGACTGTAAATCACATGGCCATGGGGATGCTGCAAAAGTCGTAAGTGTGGAAAAAAAGGGTCATAAGTCGCTTTTTTCAGTGCAGTTGTCACCTTGAATGGTCACTAAATGAGCCCTGTGTTAAGTCGAGGTCTATCTGTATAAAAGCAGCCTTGACACGAGTGTTTTCCTGTCCGTTTTTTGCACCTATCCTGGAGCTGCTGCTGCTCCCATTGCACTTCCCTCCCTCCAGCAACCCCGTGCTTTACAAATCTCGAATTCCGGGACACTCTGCAATTCAAGGCCTCCGCCAAAGATGGCTTTAATCCCGCCGCTACCGGCTTCCGTCCCTCCTTTTGCAAACGAAGACGCTGCCATTAAAATATATCAATAGGTGCCCCGTTTTATTCAATGGCCGTAGAGCGCGAGGAAAGGGAGACCCGGAGAAGGAGGGGCCTCGAGGCTCCGCCCACCACCTCTTTCCTAACGAGTGCGTGAATAGGCCCCGCCCCTCGCGCCGCCAAAGGCACCTCCTCCTCCTGATGGACAAGATGGCGGCGCCCTTAGCAGCGGAGTTGGAGCGTCTCCTCAACCCGCTGCCCCGCGCCCAGCCTGACCCGGAGGACGACCCCGAGGAGGGTGAGGGCTCGCCTGCGAGGCCGGTGTGGAAGCCCCCGGGCTGGGTTTCGCTTCCCCGGGGGGGGGTTGGGTTGAAATGTTAGGAGGATGGTGTTTCCACGTGGCTTTCAGACGTCGCCCCTGTACACGTGTTGTGTGCGAGGAGAGCTGGGGGGCGGGGGGCGCCTGTTTCGAACTCTGCTTCACCCTATGTGCTGAAAACCCGTATGTTGGCCTTGGAAGGGGTGGGTCGGTGCCTTCCCATTTGTGGTTGAGCAAGGGATGGATAACTTGTGATGGTAAGAGGTGATGGGTACGTGTGAAAGGGAAATGTCTATGGCAGGGGTCCCCAAACTTGACAACTTTAAGACTTGTGGACTTCAACTCTCAGAATTCTCATTCTGAGACTTGCAGTCCACAAGTCTTAAAATTCCCAAGTTTAGAGACCTCTGGTCTATGGAGATTCTCAGTCATCCAGGTCGTGGTTGTCCCAAAACTGCCTTTCTTCAAGAGGCAACTGGACTTTCTTGGTTTTTAACAGATAATCAGAGTTGGAAGGGACTTTATAGGTCACCTAGTCCAACCCCCCGCCCAAGCGGGAGACCCTACACCATTTTTGACAGATGGCAGGCCAATCACTTCTTGAAAATCTCAAGTGATGGCGCTCGCACAACTTCCAAGGGCAACTTCTGTTCCATTGGTTGATTGTTCTCGCTGTCAGAAAGTTTCTCCTTATTTCCAGGTTAAATCTCTCTTGATCACTTTCCATTCATTATTCCTTGTCTGGCCTACAAGCGCTTTAGAAAATACCTTGACCCCTTCCTATCTGTGGCAGCCCCTCAAATATTGGAAGGCTGCTATCATGTCTCCCCTGGTCCTTCTCTTCACTAGACTAGCCAAGCCCAGTTCCTGCAACCGTTCGTTGTATGTTTTAGTCTCCAGTCCCCTAATCATCCTGGTTGCTCTTCTCTGTACTTTCTCTAGAGTCTCAACATCTTTTGTATAGTGTGATGACCAAAACTGGATGCCGTACTCTAGGTGTGGTCTTACTAAGGCTTTATAGAGTGGTATTAGTACTTCACTTGATCTTGATTGTATCCCTCTGTTAATTCAACTTAGAATTGCATTAGCTTTTTTGGCTGCTGCTGCATACTGCTGGCTCATATTTAGCTGGTTGTCCACTAAGACTTTGAAGATGTTTTAACTTCTCATCCAAAAAGCTTCTCCAGCTTTAACTGAATGGTGAATTCTTCCATTCCCCACCATCCAGTCAGAGCTGAAGAAGCTTCTTGGATAAGAAACGAAACGTCTTCAAAGAAAAAAAAAACCAGAAAGTCCAGTTGCCTCTTGCAAAAAAGCATCTTTGGATATGAAAGGGAAAGAATTGGGGGAAAAACATGGACTATGGCTGGAACTAGATTTCCCACACACGGCTATAGGGAAGGGGCAATTGAAGGGGCTGGGCTAGGTTTCGGGGTTATTGTCTTCTCCTTTGGGGGAAAATGTCAGAAAACACCAAGAGAAATAAAATACCCATTCCCTAGAATATTATCCCTGAGGATAATATCCATTAGTATAAGAGTAGTAAGAGTCTATGGAGATTCTCAGTCATCCTGGTCATGGTTGTCCCAAAGGTGCATTTTCAAGATGCAACTGGACTTTCTTGGGGTTTTTTTGTTTCTGTTTTAAAGATGTTTCGCTTCCAAGAAGCTTCTTCAGCTCTGACTGGATGGTGGGGAATGGAAGGATTTATATTCTTTGCAGACAGCTGGTCATTTGCATTCTTTCAGAGAGTCCTTGAGGGACTAGGAGGTTTATCTGTGTCCTCATCAGGGTCACTTGAGTAGCGTAAATGGTTCCTGTAGTCTGCATTTTTTTCTGGAAATCCGTTCATACCCCCACACCATTCAAAGGGTGTTCATCCCAAATTGTATAGCTTATTCCATTCCCCACCATCCAGTCAGAGCTGAAGAAGCTTCTTGGAGGAGAAGTGAAACATCTTAAAACAAAACAAGAAAGTCCAGTTGCCTCCTGAAAAATCACCTTTGGGACATACGACATGGATGACTGAGAATCTCCATAGACTTTTAGCTACGCTCTGCGACAGCCATGATTTCAAGTACAGGTAGTCCTCGACTTAAAACCATCCATCAAGTGAATTGCACTGAACCAAGGCACTCAAAAAAAGTGAGTTATGACCAGTTTTCACACGGCTGTTGTGGCATCCCTAAGGTCACACGATCAAAATTTGGGTGCTTGACAACTGACACGTATTAATGACAGTTGCTCTGTCCCGAGATCATATGTTACAAATGATGATCACATGTGTCATATGTAAAGCGCTATGGAGAGGTATATAAGTTGTAAGTGCTATTAAGAGCACTTAGGACCCATGGTGGCGCAGTGGTTAGAATGCAGTATTTTAAGCTGACTTCTGCTGCCTGCCTGATATTTGGCAGGTCGAATCTCACCAGGCTCAAGGTTGACTCAGCCTCTTCCATCCTTCCGAGGTGGGTAAAATGAGGAGCCAAATTGTTGGGGGCAAGAAGCTAACTCTGTAAATTGCTTAGGGCTGCAAAGCGGTATATAAGTCTTAAGTGCTATTACTATTTGTAACCTTCCCAGCCAGCTTCCAACAAGCAGAGTCAATGGGGGAAGCTGGGTTTGCTTAACAACTGTGTGATTCACTTAACAACTGTTGTGATTCACTTAATAAGATCATAAAATGGATCACAACTCACTTAACAACTGTCTTGCTTAGCAAGAAACTTGGGATTCCATTGTGATAAGTTGAGGACTACCAGTACTGCCTTTGTTAAGCAGCACAATCTCAATTTCCTTGTGAGATGAGTAGCAAACAAATTTAATAAACTTTTTTTATTTATCATAATTTTGAATGGTCACTGAATGAATGGTTGTTAAGCAAGGACTACCTGTAATTTATTTAACATACTGTACCACTGCTATCCAAACCTCTTACTAAGAATGCATCAATCAAACACAGGTAGAAAGAAATATAAACTTTATTTTATATCAAGCTCGACTTCATGAGGGTGGCCATGTAGGTTTTGGAGTAATACCATGGAATTGGCTTTGTATCATGAGAAGGTCCTGGTGTTCTCTTAGCTTGGTTGTTGGCAGACATTTTATCAGCATACTAGATAACATCAGTTTGCAAACCCCATGCCCTTCTAGCACTGATAATGTTACCTAGTTGGGTAATAAAACGTCTGCAAGAAAACAACCAAGCTCAGAGAGCACCAAGGATCCCTCACTTCAACCCTGAGCTGTAAATATTCTTTATTGTGTGAAGGTTTATTTTTCAACTTTCTACTCCAGTTTTCAGAAGGCCTTGAGTCCTTCTGATGACCTAACATCCAAATATTAACCATTTTCAACTCTTACCTTTTTTCCATGATCAGCAAGCTTGATTGGCTGCTGCCACCTGGTGTGAAATGCTGGTCTTTGGGTCGTGGGCAGATCACTCAGATTTGCAGTGTTTAATTGACGGCTGATTAGATTAAAAGGTTCATTATTTTCAATTAGCAAATTGGGCAGCTGATTATCAAAGATACCTAGATATTACAAAGATAATATGAAAAATGGCTGGGTCAGGCCTTTTATTAGAAGAGGCCTCTTCTCTCTGTTCTCATGAAGAAGAATGACTCTTCTCAAATCACGCTGGCTGGGACAAATGTATGTATTGTCCTTTTTTTAAATGGCATTTTAATCATAGGATGTTTTATGACAACTCATCTGGCATGATTGAAATTAATCAGCCGAGGCTCCCCTGTTTGAGTGAAATTCATTTGTGTCTGAACCAGTTAAGAGTCAGCAGCTCTGCCTCTCCAAAGTGGAATTCTTTCTTCAGTGGTTAAACACTATAATATTAGATTGGAAAAGTTTGTTATGACTTCCTGGGAAGCGAGGAAAAAAAAAGAATCTTATATCAGGTCCAGCAATCCAGGTCAAGGTTTTTTTACCTTGAGAGTAATTTTACAATGTTTTGATAGAGGAAGGCTTTATTGCAGTGTGATTGGTGGCAAACAAATTTAATAATTTAATACAAATAGTCCTCAACTTACAACAGTTCATTTAGTGAAAATCAGTCATATGTCACTTTCGGGGAAAAACTGTCCTTTTGTCTAGTTGTTCTGGTGTGCAGTGCTCTATAGTGTCACTTTAAGGGTAAGAGTTGAGATAGTTTATGTCCGGGATGTGAGGGGTCTGTAGATATTTTCACAGGCCTCTTTTTGACTCGTGCAGTATACAGGTCCTCAGTTGAAGGCAGGTTGGTAGTAATTGTTTTTTCTTGAGCCTAATTACTTTCTGAAGTCTGTGTCTTATTAGGTTGCAGAACCAAACCAGACAGTTATAGAGGTGCAGATGACAGACTCAATCATTCCTCTGTAGAACTGGACCAGCAGCTCCTTGGGCAGTTCGAGCTTTCTGAGTTGGCGCAGAAAGAACATTCTTCGTTGTGCTTTTTTGATGACGTTTTTTATGTCAGGTGTCCATTTTAGGTCTTGTGATATGATAGAACCTAGAAATTTGAAGTAACCAAGAAGGCTTGTGAAGCTTAGCTGAATTGATGGACCCATGGCATCCTGCTACAAGGGTCGATGAGAAAGGAGGAGATTGGATGACCTGGAACCCAAACTAATCACCACTCGGTTTTTCCTCCGTACAGCTACGGCAGCCAAAGTGATCGACAAATTTGACGAAGGCAACCTCGATGAAGACGTCCTTTCTGTTGGTCAAATACGGAAAGGAATTGCCTCTCGGCTTTTGGATGCTGATAAGCGGTACCAGGGAAAAGCCACAACCCGCAAAGCCTTAGAAGAAGAGTTGTGGGGCGCAGCTGAGCTCCCAGGTGAGTTGTTTTTTGGCTTTATTTTCTAGCCAAACTGCTTTGGTTTTGACAGCCATGGACAGGTTGCCTCTATCTTGCGAAATTATGGTACTTCGGTACTCATCATTAATTGGTTCCGGGAGGTGTGATGAGTACCATAAATTACGAGTATCAAATACATTTTTCTCAAAAGGAACAATGTTGTGTGTCACAAGGCAGCCGATACTCGCAAGTTCCAGCTTGTGCTTTGAATACCAAACAAATGATGATGAAGAGTACCAGGACAAATTTTTTGCATCAAAATGCATTGAGTACCAAATTCGATAATTTCAAAAGTACTTGATTACCAAGGTACCACTGTTTTCATACTGTCCTGGCTCGAAAAAAATCAGGAATTTGTGTTGCATAAAGTAGCATGCAAATTTTCTAAGAAAATGATCCAAGATTATTATTATTATTATTATTATTATTATTATTATTATTATTATTATTATTATTATTATTATT